CCCCTCCCCCCCAAGACTTCCAACCAACCCCCCCCCCCCCATCCTTCAACGATACCATGAACCTTGACGCGGGAAACTCGTCAAACACTCAATAAGGTTTATAAACTTTCCTGAACGTTTATAAACCTTCTGCAGGCTTATTGCGCAGCAAGTGGAGACTGTTGTTTGGGAAAAAAGGACACTCATTTGAGGCCTTGTTTGATGTGGTTTGGGCATGTGGTCCTAAAAGGTTGATGATTGTGTGTGTGTCATCACTGCTGCACTGTTATATCAAAGGCTGTCCATTCGGTCCAAGGGAACACAATCTGAGCAACTGCTGCAAAACACTCTGTTTTACAGCATTTTGTTGGATCTCTAACCCCTTCAAATGTCCAATTTGAAACACCTGAAACCTAGAATCTGGAGATCAGAATCCTTGAGATGTCTAATGTTGGATTCTCCAAGCCTCATATTTTGGAGCCTGGAGTACTCCAACACGAATTGAATTGGAATGTTGAAGGGGGCAAAATGTTTTTTGGGAAACGAACAATCTTCGGCCCAAGGGAACACAATCTGGGCAATTTCTTCGAAACACATTGTTTTACAGTTTTTTGTTGGACCTGCAATCCCTTGAAATGTCCATGGTGAAGCACCTGAAACCTAGAATCTGGAGATCAGAATCCTCGAGATGTCTAGTGTTGGATTCTCCAAGCCTCAAATTTTGGAGCCTGGAGTACTCCAACACGAATTGAATTGGAATGTTGAAGGGGGCAAAATGTTTTTTGGGAAACGAACAATCTTCGGCCCAAGGGAACACAATCTGGGCAATTTCTTCAAAACACTTTGTTTTACAGTTTTTTGTTGGACCTGCAATCCCTTGAAATGTCCATGGTGAAGCACCTGAAACCTAGAATCTGGAGATCAGAATCCTCGAGATGTCTAATGTTGGATTCTCCAAGCCTCATATTTTGGAGCCTGGAGTCCAACATATCCAAGTACACATTCCTTTCCAAATACGATTTTTGATCCGAATTGAATTTGCATATTGAATAGAATTTAGTAAGCACATAGTTCACCACCATTCATAATTCACCATAATGTCTATATTAGATCAGAATTTGAACAGGAATACCTTTCCAAATAAGGAAAATTTCATTGCAGTAGAATCCAAATATACTTTAATGCAGACAGAGTTCAATTAGCTTTTGAACATAATAATTTGATTAAGAATCCATCCCCAAATACAACTTGAATTGGAATATAGCTTATTCTGGAAAGAAATCACTTGGCCTTTGCAAACAAATTTTAATAGTAACTCATTCCCAAATATGATTTAGCTTAAATGTGGCTAAACAAATAAAGGGCACATATCCCCAGACTCCCAAACTTGGTCTGGAGATGTGTTTGGCATGTGCAGGTCTCAGAGCTTTCATTTTCAGGAGATTTTGTGCTTTTGGGTCTGTGCAGGTTGCAGAGCTCAAAGCTGCCAAAAACATCATTTTTCAATGTTTTTCCCTGGTGTACTCAAAACCACTGTAAAAACCAGTGATTCAATCAAAGCCAGGCTCGAATCTGAAAACGGAATCCGTTTTCGCTTTGCTGCCTTTCAAGCCTCAAAGAATCAGACATCTGCTGTCATATAGAAGGTAAAAAAAAACAACAAAACACTGTATTTTACAGTGTTTCAGGCATCTGCAAGAAAGAGGCACACAGAGTAGAGTTGACACCTTCAACTAGAAGAGGGCAAAGGTAGGCCCTGGGGGGGGGGGGTGACCATATATATATATATATAGATAACACATGGGCGTCAGGCTAGATGTATACATACACCCATCCTTGATTTGGAGGGAAGGACCTTCAAGTTGAAGTTCAAAGCCTCTTGTGAGGGTCCCAAAAAGACAAACTCATATATATATATATATATATGTATATATATATATATATGTCTGGCCTTGTCTTCTCTGCCTGTCGTGAAAATACTGTCCCATCAGCACCGTGCAGACTTCACCCAGCCGGACGAGGACGAGCAAATTCCCGCGGATGAGAGACTCGAGAGCCCGGCAGCCTAGGCTGATGATTTTTTTCGGGAGCCGCCTCGCAAGTGGTGGATATGATCCACCCACACGATGTCTACCATCACCAAGGGGCTGACAAAATCCCGGTGGAACCAGTAGTTCTACTTGGTGCAGAAAGACCATGGCTAGCATGTGGTGGCCTCCTGTTGTGCAACCAGGACAGATGTATTGGCAAAAGCCGCATACCACCCGAAGTGAACCTCATCGCAAGATGCACATGCTAAAACGGTAAAACACACCGCAAGTTCGCAAATGTACACCTTCGAGGTGCCTGGCTTCAAACGATGGATTTACACTTTTTGAGGACCATGTTGGGGCAAGCAACAAGTTGTCAGATGGCTGTAAATGGGATTGTAAGAGTGGGCAAAGGGCGCATGCTACACAAAATTTGACTGGAATCATCAGGCTCAAACGGGCGCCTGTTAGCCTTCATTGCATGAACTTTTCGTTATCCTTTGCGCTCGGGAAGCGATCAAGCACTTACCCGCTGAGTTTTTTACTCAGCTGAAAAGTCGGCGAGAGTCGGCGAGAGGTTGCATCAATCTCTCGGCATGCAATCCGGTCCTTCTAGCAATAAATGCGATCAATCTCCGCTGCTCCCCTTCAGATACCTTTTCCGTAACGAAGATAAGCAGTTTCCGCTTCGGTTGTGCAAATACCGTCTTTGTTTTTGCCAGCCAAGACAACGTCAAAGTGTAAGAAGGGGATTTGAGCAGAAACGCTCAGGGCATCTGTCAAGGCACAAGTATACACAGTGAAATTGCAACTGTTTCTTTGGTGCATGTTGCTTGGATGTTAGGACTTTAACTTTTGTCAACTGATGGGTTTTCCGAATAAAACCACCAAAAGTGAGTCACTTCAGCAGGGCTTCGCAGATTTTGCCACCGAGGTTTGACGTCTAAACAACGTTGATTGAGTTGCCTAATGTTGGCACTTGATTAATCAACCGGGCGTCAATAATTGCAAGTGTTTTTCCTTATGCTGGTTCGCACCCATTGTTTAGGGGGACCAGAATAATTGAAAGTGTTTTTGCCCGGGGGGAAATTGCAAAAAACAACTTCACAAAACAATTTTATTTTACAAAACCATCCCCCCTCCCAGAAAATAAACTATCAGTTGCTTTACTCAAAAGCATTCCCCTTTCAGTTGTTGGCCCACTTGCTTAAAAGCATCCCCTTTCAATTGGTAGCCCACTTGTTCAAAAGCATTCCCCTTTCAATTGGTTGCTCAACCACAGAACCCAAAGCCAGTTGAAACCTCTGAAATTTGAAAACCATCCCCAGCCCTGAAACTGCAAACTCTTTACTCGACCGTGTTTAAAAAATGCAAAACAAAAACAATCAGGACAAGGGTACCCCTCACAGACCCCACTGAACCACAATAATGTCATTCTTTTAGGGGACCACATTAGTTGCAAGCCCCCAGCCCCCCCTCCCAAAAAATAAACTATCAGTTGCTTTACTCAAAAGCATTCCCCTTTCAATTGGTGGCCCACTTGCTTAAAAGCATTCCCCTTTCAATTGGTTGCAATACTAAAGTAGTATTCCAACAAGTATGCTCAGGAAGAAGTGGTTGCAAGACTAAAGTAGAATTGCAAAACGGAAGTGGCTGCAATACTAAAGTAGAATTGCAAAAAGGAAGTCGCTGCAATACTAAAACAGACTTGCCAAAAGGAAGTGGCTGCAATACTAAAGTAGAATTGCAAACAGGAAGTGGCTGCAATACTAAAGCAGACTTGCAAAAAGGAAGTGGCTGCAATACTAAAGCAGACTTGCAAAAAGGAAGTGGCTGCAATACTAAAGTAGAATTGCAAAAAGGAAGTGGCTGCAATACTAAAGTAGAATTGGGCCCCAAAATCCTCCATTGTTTGGACGTCCCAAAATTGCGCCCCCATTGTTTCGGCGCCTCCATTGTTCAGGGGGGGGGGGCCTTTATTAATCAAGTGCATTACTGCTAAAAGGGAGCCGGCGATGGAAATGATTCGATTGATCTCCAGTTTGGGGGCCGATGCGCGGCTTCGAGGCCAAGAGTATGGTGACCCGAGGCCGGAGTGGAGTTGTTGGGGTCATCTCCCGAAGCTATCCCCTTCTCCGGGAACACGTGGGCTCGTCTTTTTAAGGAGGGTCCAAAAGTTTTGGAGTAGTTGCCCAAGGCATTTATTCGCAGTCGGTTGAAATAAGATTCACAAGTAGCCAACAACTTATGGAAGGGTCTCAACACCTTCTGGCAAGGTCAGCATGGTTTTTGGTTTCCGCGTGGATGTTGGAAGATATACCTGGAGCTTGGATCGTGGCATCTCCGATGGTTTCCTGTTGAGCGGTTGCAGTTTGCAGTTTGCACGGGAGGCCGAGTCGCTCGAGGGCAGGCTCATTAGACTCCCTCATGGCGTGTGTTAACTTGCTGAATGGGACGGATGTGATGATGTCAGCTGAGTATTCCCTGTGGTGGGACCAGCACAAACACGATGATGGCGGTCTTTTCGACGCGTTGCGACGCCACCTGGCCAAGAGTTTCTCGCATGAATTGCCATTGGTAGCCGGTTTGTCTTTTTATGTTCTTTGCTCATTGATGATTACCCAATACCATGTAAGATGATCAAGATGGCGTTGTCCTTTTTCCCCATGGCCACTGGCAGAGTAAAGATTGATGTTGCCAGATTTTAGGCAACTTGCTCTGGCTGCTGAGCAAGGCATCCTAAAACCGAGAGTCTGTGGGAGAATACTGAGTGCCTGACGGCCATTGTACGGCAATATGTTGACGGCACGACGGGTGAAGCAGACTCTAGCAACTGGCACTGACTTGCAGCAAGCGGCGGAAAGAGGCGGCGCAGAATGCTAGAGCTGTTGGAGAAGCCTCATCCCAACGCTGGTGACAGAAACCGGGGGGCCACAGCATCTTGCTGCACGTCCAGGCCTGGATGCCGCTGACAAGGAGAAGGCAGACAACCGGGGGGCCACACCATTGCATTTTGCTGCACAGAAGGGCCACCAGGCAGTTGTGCAGTGCTTGTTGGATGGCGGTGCTGACAAAAACAAGGCAACTAACGAGGGTTCCACGCCATTGTATCTTGCTGCAAAAAATGGCCATGAGGCAGTTGTGCAGCGCTTGCTGGATGCCCGTGCTGACAGAGAGTAGGTGACCGGCGTAGGCAGATCACCGTTGCATATTGCTGCAGACCAGGGTCAGCAGGCAGTTGTGGAGCGCTTGCTGGATGCCGGTGCTGACAAAGAGAAGGTGACCAACGCGGGCAGATCACCATTGCATCTTGTTGCGCATCAAGGGGACCAGGCTGTCGCACAGTGCTTGCTGAATGCCGATGCTGACAAGGAGAAGGCAGACAACCGGGGGGCCACACCATCGCATCTTGCTGAACGTCAACGCCACCAAACTGTTGTGGAGAGCTTGCTGGATGCCGGTGCTGATCAATCATGTCAGCTTGCTGCATAGCGTTGTAAGTCGCGCAGAGCTTGCCAGAAGACTGTGGATTTTTCGAGATCGTGTGTGTGTGTGTGAATGTGTGTGTGAATGTGTGTGTGAATGTGTGTGTGTGTGTGTGTAAGTGTGTGTGTGTGTGTGTGTGTGTGTGTGTGTGTGTGTGTGTGTGTGTGTGTGTGTGTGTGTGTGTGTGTGTGTGTGTGGCCCCCCTGTTCCTAAGGGGTTCTGCGGTCGTGTTTTTTCTCTTTATCGGAGTCGGACGCCACCTTCATTCATGTCCTGGCATGCAGTAGCCAGATTGGCCGTTGGCGTCCCTGAAGAGGAAGGCCAATCTAGGCGAACAATGTTCAGGCATGTGTGAAGCCGAAACTCCATTGCCCTGCCGGAGACCTTCAAACAGCCTGTACCTGCATGGTGGTGCACATTGTCAGCTTTTGCCGTCTCATATCAAGTGTGTTTAGGCACTGCGTCCGGGCTTCGGTCAGTGTCTTGATCCCTGTTGTGGGCATCTGTTCCGACTCATGCTCAGACATTTTCTACAGACTGTTACCGGACCTTGTCGCTCGTGACGCTTGACTGTTCCAGCTGATCTTATCAATGCAGGCTTGGACCTCTCCCAGACCTTCCGGCACCCCAGACTGTTTCCGTGAACCGTTTCTGTCAGACCAACTGTTTGACAACCAATCCGACTACCCGACACATCAGGTGGAAAATCACGACGCCGTCAGCTTGGTCTTGGCTCGCAATTGTTGGCACTAGATGTCTCGCCCGCACGCAGGTCCGATGTCGAACTCGGCAGGCCCCATGGCCAAGGCATCCAGGAACACTGCCGGCCCTACGCCGCCCAGGTCTCCGGTGCACCAGTCAGCATCACCGAGCAGGAGTACGCTTGTGACACCAGCTTCGAGGATATCTTGCGAGGTGTCCAACGCCTCAAGGGCTGCCAAAGCAGCGGTCCCGGCTCTTGCTCCCGGTGACGCATCGGCATCGGTCCCTACCTTGGAGGTCTGGCCTGCATCTGTAGCTGGCCCACTGCCGCAAATTCTGGTGAAAGCACGCCCGGCCACACCGATGACACCAATGACTCCGATGACGCCAACTACCCCGACAGTTTCAACTACAGCATGCCCACCTATGCCTACAGCACCGACCCCTATCACACCGATCCCTACGGCAACCCCATCAGGTCAGATGCTTCCACCGCCCAACCCACCATCCAGATCACGCCACACGACGGAGGGAGACCGGTCACGTTCCCACAACGCTTCCCCCTACTCCAAGTCAGTGCCCCCACAGCGGCGAGGCCGAGCTCGCTCCCGGACGCCACCTCCGATCTCCCGAAGGGACTCAACATCGGACAACACCGTGACGGAAGCATCGAATGCTACCGCGCCGGCGCCCACAGCAGCCAAGTCCTCATCCCGGGCACCTACGGCAACTAAAGCTTCATCCCGACGACCGAGAAGCAATCGATCTCCCCTTCCGCGTAGCAGAAGCAGTGCCCCGTCAGCTCCAGCCTCCAAGGCCGCAGGAGCTCGCCCGGATGTGGGGTCGTCCTCGAGGAGCATGCAACTACGCCCCAACCCACAGGCACATCCACCGCTGGTCTTGCTTCCCAACCCGGAGTCTGATCCCTGGAGGAACGAACTTCAGGTGCTGGCCGCACCATATCTTCGCGATGGGATCCCAGTCAATCAGGAGCAGATGAGCTATGTGGCCGCGACCTTGAATGCAGCAGGCATACCGTCTCAGCACTCCACCCTGAACTATGCGAAGGTCAACCCGGATCATCATTTTTATAAGATCACCCCGCACTGGTTCATGCTGACGGTCCCTTATCTTGGGGCCACAGTCCGGCTCAAAGAACCGACGAAGACGCGACCCATGCTGCTCTGGACTCACGCTTCCAGTGTTGGAGGTACTCGCGGCATCCTGCGGAGCCGACAGATCCATCCTTCCCGGCAGCACTCCTCGGAGTGCCCAGCCTTTTATGCCCAGGGCTGGAAGATCACTGGACACGCCGACTACGACGCTGAAGAAATCGCTCGCACGATGAGCCAGAACTGGAGCATGTCTTTTAACATGGCCCAATTGCTGTTGTTCGGACGCGCTGTTGGCACCTGTCAACCGATTCGATCGGGAGGAGAGCAAGCTTGCATTGAGGCCCTGGACTCCAGTGAACGTCCTGATGTCATCCACTATGTGTCGGGCAAGTGTTGGATGGTGATCCCGGAGGCAAGCCAGATCGTTGGACTCGCATGGCCCACCGATGCAAAGCCGCCCACTGGTGTCCTCCGCTCGTGAACCTGCACCAGGAGCTGTTGTAGCCAATGACAATTAATGATGTTTCATTGCGAATAAGAGCATACTTCGCCACACTGCCGTCTTCGACTACCGACGATATTTTGCGACAAAAAGTGCACGCCAGAGTCTGATCCGAGTATGTGCTGACCTTACTGCAGGGTTTCCTTTTTTGAAGCTTTGTGTAACTAATGCTGTTTTCTGGTCGCTCACCACCCCGGGCCCGGTCGGAATTCGGGTGTCGTTTTGGCATGGTTGTTGTTTCGGAAATGTGTGGCGTACCCCTAGCGTTTAACCCATTAGCAGTGTGGGCGGCAACCTCCTATCTCGTGATGGCTTCTCCGTGGAGCTATTCATGGCCGGCGACATCGGCACCTTCTTCCTCTTCGCATCCGGGACCCTCGTATCTACCGTCATGGTCATTTCCGCAGTCCCAGCAGGAGGCATATCTCAGCTCCAATCGGACGGAACCTTCGCAACATCAACTTCGCGAAGAAGCACCGTCCCGAGTCAATCCCCCTCGGCCCCCACAGATGGCTCATCAGTTTCCTCCTCAACCACCCGGTCAATTTTACAACTATCACGGTGGTGGAACAAGCCACATGCAGACAGGTCCTCGTCCTCCACCACCCGCACCGCCAGTTCAACCTCCAGTTCGGGCACCTCTAGGCCAGGGTGATGCAACGCAATACACTCAGCCTCGATATTCGCAGCTACTTCCCAGCACCTTCCAATCTGACGACATCTTCCTAGACAAGACGGAGGTCCGTGGTCTGCAGCTGTACCGTCACGTTCAGCCCACTCAGTGGTCCAGAAGAGTTGGGCTCGCAGGAACAGCCATCCTGGATCTTCCACTCACGCGACTTCTTCGAGGAGGAGCAGAAGATCACGCATTACGAGCACTATCAAATGGCCGCTACAGCACACCAGTCATGGCTCAGACGATAGCCGAGGCAGTCTTATTGACATCCATTCTCAAAGCATTGAGAGGCAGGGAGGTCGACATTGACAGGACAGCTCGCTCTCTCCACGTGGACAATGCGCCGGATAAGCGCAATGAGGCCATGCAGTTTATGGAGCCACTGGCAATCAAAATCGTGGATCTCATGGAGTCCTTGCAGCCCGCCAAGCAGGAGAACCTCACTCGCCACAAAATTGCCGAATTAGAGCAACAGCTGGAGCGCTACAAGAGCAAGGGCATCACTCTTACACCAGATAAGAAGCTGCCGTCCTCGTCCCCTTCCAATGCCGCGTCCTGGACCCCCACGCCCGGCCGCTCCGACCAGTCCCTCTACATCAATGCGGCCA